ATTTTGTCAGTTAACAAACTCTTCTAATAGTGATTCTAATTTCCGGCATTCTATTGGTAAACTGAAGATTTGCGTTTCTCTGCCCGATAAGATTATCCTGTATCTCTAAATAATATCTGGAAACTCTAGTGTGTTCCCTACTTATATGAATATTTTATCTGATTTCTGATTTGAATTCTGTTTTGACATCTGATCTGAAATCTGTTCTGATTCCTAAACTGGATTCTGTTATGATATCTGATCTGAATTATGTTTTGATTTTGATATCTCTGTTTACCGACGGAGAAATGTTTTAAATGGGGGTATTGTTGAAGGATGAAGTTCCGCAGGTTCCTCGGCTTTGTGCTCAGGGCCTTATATGTTGTGTTGGGTTGGGTGTATGGTTCTGGGGAACCTACACATTATGTTGTGTTGGGATGGGGGTATATATATATATATATGTTTTAAAAAGATCTGAAAAGTTACATGGTTTTTGGGAATACACTAGAAAACCTATTCTGATATCCTGAACCTAGACATCCGAAATATTTCCATCTGGAATGAATACTATTTGTTACTACCTGAAATATCCGTAGAATCTCTGCTCAGTATAAAGATCTGTAAATGTCTGAATCGATAAGGAAAAATATGTTTATTTGTATCTGCACGTTCTTCAGCATCATCTGGTAGTTCTGTGTTACTGAGCTTTCCAAAGCTCACTCTATTACTCACATTTTCAGGTTAAAAGAATTGTACCAGAGCATCTATCGACTTCAGTAAGGGAGTTCTTCCGGCGTTGTTGCAGAGTATGGTACATGTGATTAGGGAGCATGTAATTGTATTTTGATTTATATACGAGTCTGAAAATCTGTTTTATTTTTAAATAGCGACAAATGATTTTATAAGTTTGCATGTTCTGATAAAAAAGTTTTAAATTTTTCGCTATTTTTACAGTGGGTCGCTCCGGTGGCCCTAATGTGACACCCCGGATCGGATAGGGCTACCCTTATCGGTCTGTGGGGGTTACAAAAGGTACGGATACCGTTACAAGTTTTTTTAATGAGAGGGGGGTAAGGAAGTAAAAGCGTAGGGGAAGGGTACAAGCGTAAATTAGCCTGGAAACCGAGGTGCAAAATACGCCAGACTGGCGCCAATATCTGGTCTTCTTTCTTCCCAAACACTGCTCGTGTGTTCCGCTTGCAACTTGCACACGTATTATTACAGCCAGTGAGAACTGTAAACTTTCTCACACTTGGGTGAGCCAGTAGATTCGGACAAAGGGACAGAGAGAAGGTGCCCGTGCAAAAGCATCGGTGAGGTAACGACTTAAATTTATTGAAAATATCTATGTTTAAAGATTAACATAAAACTTTATATTATAATATTAATTTATAAATTTTCAAGATAAAAAAATATTTAATTTATATGTTATCGCATCTTCGGTCAAAATATGAAAGTATTGAAACTCTTATAAAATTTATCTTTGTTTCTGTTAATTCAACAGCTTTGTATTGTCATTACACTTATATTTAGCTGAACTTTGGGTAGATTTTGATTGTAAATTGTAACGCTGTTGAAAGTTGATAACAGTGTATGTGTTATTTGTGAAGAAATGAACTATTACAAGCTGCCGCTTGATGATTTGTTATTTATGCATCATAATATAATACAAATGCTTAAGGACTCTTTCGAGTAGCTTTATCTGTTGCATCTTATTTGCAGTTGCAAGTACGTTTCATCACAGGCATCTCATTCTTTTGCAATTAGGGACCATTCCATTCTAAATGGAACAGTGTAAAAGCTTATCTACCAAAAGCTCTTGGAGAGAAGGCAGTTTTCAGTTTTGAGCTTCTAACTTAAAAGTTCACATTAATAACATGTATTTTTTGTATGGAATTGACATGTTGAATATCCATCATCATCGTGAGTATACATGTATAATATATAATGCTATCATAAAGAGTGACACAAAATTAAGTGATCAATCATGTTACATGTGTCATAAATATTAAAGTGTTATGTGATTAAAGTATATATTCCACATGTTGTAAGAAAATTATAAATACTTAAAAGACTGACCTAATATTCTATCGATATAAAGAGATAATGATCCCTAGAAAATAGGTTAACCTGTATTACTCATATATTGTTAGAGACATCTTACTCTATATAATTTGGCATGATTGATATTGGATTTTGATTCATATCGATTAGACTTTGATTCTTACATGGTACAAATAAAATTTCAGGGTAGACACCATCAGTGAAATAAAAAAACTTATCAATATATTTGATACTCACCGTAAGCAATACTTGTCTCCACCACTGATGAAACTAGGATCAAACACTGAGAAAGATTAATTGGATTTGTAATAAAGGAATATGTGTCTATTAAATATTTAAAACTACAAATTGGGAAAGATGAAACCTACTTTTATTAATATTTAAATTAAAAATCTAATAATTTTGAAACTTTCTAAATAGATTCGACATTTGACATGTATTACGAGATTTACAATTAGGATACACATTGAATGTGTCTAATATGTCTTGTACAACACTAGATTCAAATATATGTCGAGATGAATGTTCTCTTCATAGCCATACTAATAACTTGCATGGAACCCTTGTTAGTGTTAGATTTAAGCGATGAAAAAAATGAGTATTCTGTTAGAAATATAATTTGCTTAAATTATAGAAATGAAATTATATAAAAGAGAAACTGAAAACGTATAAGTTTGAAAGGATGATAAAAACTGTAAAAGAGAAACATGGAGTGGATGGAAGGGGCAAACAAAAGAGAAATACAGTAAGATTGAATAAACAAATTTGTTGTAGGGAAATCAAAAAGGGCATTTGGTCTAGTGGTATGATTCTCGCTTAGGGTGCGAGAGGTCCCGAGTTCAATTCTCGGAATGCCCCAACTGAATATTTTCCTTTTTTTTATCATACATGCTCCGGGAGCTGGGCTAGGCTGAAACAGTACAAGAGAATTGGACCTGGGCAACCTATAAGAGAGAATCTTGGCTGTTAAGAAAAAAACCGAAACCATCCTTCCATAATAAACGAAGATGTCTCCTTATTCCTCGTAATCTGTTTCCGTTGGAACTTGTTTAACGTACGATATTTTTTTAAAGATAAAATAATTTTAGTAACCGAAAATGTCTTATAATATATAATTTTGACCAATTTTTTTTGGATTTGTCAAAGTAATTAACAAAACGCGAATTTTAATTTTTTAACTCAGTTTCCAAATTCGCAACGCGATTTTGAAAAATGTGTTGCGATAGTTAAAATGTGTTGCGAGAGTTTAAAAAATGTGTTGTTGTGATAGTGAAAAATCCAAAATAAGTTTACATTTTAACTATTCCAAATTCACGTGTAGTTTGAAACAATAAAGAATGTGTTGCGATAGTGTAAAAGATTCCCAAGTGTTTGCAATGCTCAATCCCACATAGTATTGGAAACATTATTGGGAATGGGTATTTAAGGTTTGGATTTCCCACTACCTTGTTGAGTGGAAGAGAACAAGGGGACTCTCGCGCACCGTCGCCGCCACCGTCCCGTCTCGGGTCGTGGTCATACGTGTCTTCGACACGTCCGCGCGGATATTACCTTTTTAGATAAAATTCTTAAGAAACAAATGCAATACCACCAGTCGTTGCGATTTTGGAAAATCGCAACGAATTTGGACTAACGTAAATTTGGAAAATCGCATTGCGATTTCGTATTATCGCGTTGCGATTTTGTATTATCGCGTTGCGATATACATATTAGCATTGCGATAGTCAAAATCGCGTTGCGAATCTGGAAACTGATTTGCGATACTGGAGATCGCGTTGCGATTTAGAGATCGCATTGCGATTTTGTTGGTCATTTTAGCAAATCGAAAAAAATTGGTCAAAATCGTATATTATAAGACATTTTCGGTCACTGAGGTTATTTTCTCTTTTTTTAAAAATTGGATCATTAGTTTTCGATCTATTGATAAATTATTTATGATATTACAAAGATTTATTAAGATTTCGATCATTACAATCCAATTTACTCATTCCTAAAGGTTATGATCTAAACTCTTAATCTTGTTTTAAAGTTTAATATCTCATTTCACTAGATCAATTAATTGTTGGTTAACGTATGATATCTAAAAATTCATATCATCTGCACCAAAAATTATAATTTTAAAGCAGGGTTGGGCATATTTTGAAGAAGTCAAACACAATATTTCCCCTCGGATAAGATTTTCCTCCATTCTATTCAGTATTTGAGTCCACGGTCATTTGATACGATGATATTAGTTTTAATATATGTATAATATAATCTAAGTAATTATATGTTCATAATTTCCATCTTTTGGGTTCTTAAATATATTATTTAACTGAAAAATAAATAATGTTAAGACGTAGAATGAAATATCCTAGAATTCAAGACGCAGAGACACTGCTCACAAATCACAATCATAACAAAAATCCAAAACTTCTCCCTTTCCCATTCTGTCATTTGCTTTTCTTCTTCTATCTCCCTTTTTAAAATCACATAACAATTATTCGTCTAATCATTAACCTTAATGATTAAGCATCAATAGAAAATCGGTCACTGTTACTTTTATATTACAAAGTTAAGGGAACAGAAGCTATAAAACCAGGCATTACTTAGACCGATTAAATACATAGTAACTTCAACTTTAAGCCCCATTGTCATGTCTTGAAAGTTCCTTTCTTTGATGAAGAAAAGTTTATTTCTTTATTAGGTTTTTAGTTTTGTGTGTAAAAAAACATAAAACTGAAAAAACAAATGAAAAAGGCACCCCATGTTCATGTGTTCCAGCCTCAACACAATTACATAATCCACATTGTCGTGTAGCCGATCAGTGGAGCTGTATTTTACCATAAAAAATAAGTTTTTGCCAACCGTCTTTTGTCAGCATACGCACAGCTCCATCTGTGTTTCTCTTTCTCCCAAGTCCCCACCATCACTGAATTTTAAAACCTCCATCATGAATCTCATCACATTCTTCTCATACACCTTTTGCGTAATATAATCTCCCTTCTCTCCCCCTTTTTATTCTATATATTCGTCTATTGAAAAACTTTCACACTTGGATATACTAGTCTCGATCTTTCATGGCTAGTGCTAGTGCTGCCATTTGGTCATTCATTGTGTTCGTGGCTTGTTTTTCTTCACCAGCCTTGTCTTCGTCTCAGCTCCACGTTCAATACTCAACAATATCGGCTGCACCGGCGTTCTTGCCGACTGCTCCGACTTTATCTCCGGATACCGAGCCTTTGTTCCCTACTCCTAAAGGCATGTCACCAGCTCCGGCTGATTCATCGTTCCCCACTATTCCTTCAAGCCCCAGTCCTCCTGACCCTAACAGTGTGTTGGCTCCTGGCCCTGGTATTGCACTTGCACCGTCTGGTTCCTTGCCGGTATCCACTTCGGTTTCTTTAACATCGGATGGAGCTCCGAAATCGACGTTGTTTCTTGGTTTGGTAGTCGCACTTTGCTTATTGCAGCAGCTTTGGTGGAATGGAATCCCCAATTATTGTTACTAGTGGATTACTGGTTTTACTTTTTCTTTTTTTTTAATATAGTGTTTCTTTATTTTTGTTTTTGTAATATATTATTGTTTGATGTTAGGTAAACCAAGTGTCTGGTGATGGCATTGCCACAAACTATTTTTATTCAGATATATAGAATAAAGTCATGAAGGAACTGTAAGTTGAAAAACAGAACATATATCGGCTATTGCTTCTGAAATGTTCAAATCCAAGTGTTGTACTTCCTCCCAAAAATTATATTTTCGCATAAAGAACTTCCAAAGGTTTTCCTATATTCTAAGATGTACTCGGAGGTAACTCCGTCATTCTTTCCACTTACTATGGTCCCTCAATATTATCGCTGTCTGTCACAGTACTAACTAAACTATCTGTCAAACCCATCATTAGCTATCGACATTAACACTAATATTATCCATCCTCTTGTCTAGTGTTAGAGACGTATATACCCATAGAAGCAAGGATGAAAGAGAGAATCTCGAACCCCACACTCATTGTTTATTATCTTCTTCAATCACTTTCTCTTTTTTCTCCAGACCACCAACGACTACGGTTCTCTATCTAATCCAAAAAGAATGAATTGCTTAAAACCACCACTTTTCTACTCAGACCATCAACATCAACTTTGGTGGTTTATCAGAATCAAATTAGGGGTGTTTGGTTCAAGGATTGTGGGATTCCCTCATGTTTGGTTGGTCGGGAATCTCATTCCTGGTAATGTTTTATTACCAATAGTAGATTTTTTTGGGTATATTATCGGGAATGTCATTATCTCTCTTCCCTTAGGTATTGTAACATTACCGGCGTTTTGGACTAACAACAACAATAACAACAAAACCCAATTCCCATATGCAATGGGGTAAGGGGAGGTAGGGTAGTAGGCTGCCCCCACCAGGTTGAGAGTAGCTTCCGTAAAATGTCCTTAAATTTTTATTTTTTTTTTCAAAAATATCATTTTTCTGTCATTGAATAATAAAAATTCTACGAAGGTTAAATTATAAATTTATCCTTAAATTAATTTAGATTTACAAAAAAACATCTATAATTAAAATTTTATATGATGTTCAGGGGTTAAAAAAAATTTACCCTTTCATTAAACATTTTTTATTTTTTTAATTTTGTAAAAAAAATTATATAAATATTATGAATTTAATTTTTTAAAGAAAATATATAAATATTTTATAATTTGTAATATTATACAAATATATAATAAGAACAATTTGGTCAAATATACATTCCAATAATATTTTATTTCTCTAACCAAACACGATAGATAGTCTTACATTCCTGCTAAATCAACCAAACACAAAATACAACATTCCCAGTAATCCTATTCTCTAGTAATCTTTTATTCCCACTGGTAATCTTACATTCCGTGAACCAAACGCACCCTTAATGTTTATAATTGTTGATTTGTTGAAATAAGTTTTATTTTGTCAGGTTGAGGAAAAGAAAATGAAAATCTAAGAAATAAATACCAAAAACAGATGTTTATTTCAGAAGGTAGCATGTATCGAGTTAGAATTCAAAGGGTCAATTAACAACACTACTTGTAATCTGATTCCTGTAGGAGGTATAATACTATGTATATCAGTATATGGTATTTGGTTTACTGTACGAAACTAAAACTAGAGAGCAATTGCAGTAGCACGAGACATGGGAGATCCATTGAACAACATCCCCAAAAATCCACCCTTTAATCTGCTAAATTCTAGGGGACTCCGTTTCCTGCTTGGGGTGGATGATTGTTTAGAAATACTCTTCTCGAGCTCAATGTTATCATCCTTGAGCAATTGGACTGCAAAACTCAGTTCTCTAATCACTTGTCTCTTCTCCGTATCTTTCTGCAACAATTGAGCCTTCTGGTTCTTATTCTCTTCTTTCAGTCTCCCTATTTCTTCCTTCAACTTCATTATTTCATCATCTTCGGTTACTATACTTGGAACTTCATATATTCCGTCATGTTTAGGGTCATCGACTTCGGATTCGGGACTGTCTTCGGATTCGGCATTGTCAGAGTGACTGTCGTAGGTTATGTCCATCACATTGATTGTCTTGCCTGAGTTGGACTTCATGGATGAGGATGATCCTAGGATGCCTGTCTTCACTTGATCGTACCGCTCGGCGAGTGAACGGTGGGCTCGGTAGAGATCTTGAACCAAGCTGATTAACTCCGGCCGCTTCTTGTAGTACATTTCTGCACGTTGCGCAAAGGAATCTGCATCTTCCTCGATCAATTTCAGCATCGTCTTTGTCTTATGCTCCAGTTCTGGCATTGGCATAAAAAACCATTTCATCAATTAAGCAAAATGGAGATGACAGAGAAACTAAGCATGCCTAAAAATAAAAGCGAAAAAAGTGAGGTGTGTTTTACCGGAAAGAGTGGAATGAAGCCATGGAGAGCGCTTTGATCCTCTGTTATGAGTATCAAACCACCACCAACGTGGAGCTTCCATCTTCATCGTTTGCGCCATTTCTCCCTTGTAATCAAAAGTCAAAACCCAGAAAATGCCAAAACTCAAGTGTAAGAAGATCTTTTACATTCGCAGTGAAGGAAAGGATGATGGACAGAACTAGCCGTCCATGGGATTTTATAAGGGGAGGAGGGGAAGGCTCATGCAGTGAATTTAGAAACAGGCGGTAATTTCAACATTCAAACCCGCCATTAAAATAATAGCCACAAACTTAAAAGAACGCAACAGATTTATATGGAAAGAAATCATGGGTTTCCATCTACTATTGGTTCTTTCCAAATCCCGTGAAACACAAAATCCAATTCCTGACATGAAAAATGCTTTCTATGTGGTTTGATGTTATCGTCGTTTCACTGTTAGGATTGTGGTCTGTCCAATCGCCTTTTACCACGTGTCATAAATGCCGTAAATTAAAAGAAAGATTTGACTAATATAATATTAATATATTTAAAATATTTTTTAATTGAAAGGTGACTTCAAGTTACCGATTTAAGTATGAAGAATTTTACAAAACGATGGTTCTTATATATTCTTGAAATCAATAGTTGAGTATCAGGCAGTACAAAACAAAGTAATGAAATTCGATGAGGATCTAAAGCGGACATCTTCGTCAGCTGATCAGCCACCATGCTACATATTTCTTGTGGAATTTAAAGAAATTTTGTAGACCAATCTTGATTTCAACCAACATAGATGATTTTTACTGACGAGAGAGGGCTGCAATTTGCACTTGAGATAAGGATTAACTTCATGACCGTCGCGTAATCCAATTACATTTAGAGCGATTGCAAATTGTTAATTACGAAAAAGTACTTGTAGCTTTGGAAACTATATTTAATGTCATTAACCCTTTTATTAATCAAATTTGATGGAATTAGAGTATTGATGGGTTTACCTAGACCAATGTGAATTTGAAGTGTGGTTAACTATGAAAAAGTCTTCGTAAATTTGGAAACTATATATATAAAGGAATGCATTGTGGATGAAAATACCGAGGTTTATAACATGGGTGAAAGATTAACAGTTTGTGGCGGTATTGTTTATTGGTCGGTGGATCTCTCACCACAACATCTAAACCCTGACCTTCTGGATTGCCAAAAGGCTATATTGATCAGCGTGTAAGTTGCAGAGAATTTTGTGGTTAAACCAACACTTGCAACTCGGACCCTCTCATGTAAAATTTGTGTTTATCTGAAATAATTTTTATTTTATGTAATATAAATTAAATAATTATATATTAAATAGTGAAATTATTTAAAAATGTTATATAATAATTATTACTTATTATTTTATTTGAAAAACAATTGTTTTTCAAATATTTATAAAACAATATTGAGAGTTTTTTTTTTCGTATAACCACCGATACGAATCAACCAATTCGTACCGAGTACTGTAGAGGTGATGACGACCTTTTCTATCCAGTTTGCTTTATTCACAAATATCTGCCTCAAGTCTATTTTAAGAGATCTAATATCTCATCCCACTAGATCAGTTAGTTGTCGATAATATTTTCATGTTTTTCAATAAAGTATGTTTCTATCATTTGATTAAATAATCTTTTATATGTATATATATATCCTATTAATTTATAATTATTTTTTTCAAACGTTTCAATTTAAATCAAAATGACCTATAATTTGAGGGAAATTGTTAATTAACTAATAATTAATACTCGTCAAATTGACATTGTCACATGTACAAAGTGATAATATGTTATATGTCACATAATTAAAATGATGGTGTGATATATTTTCTACATTAACAACGAACATTAACTATTAGTTAATTAACAATTTTCATCTCATCAAAAGTCATTTTGCAAAATCAAATGTTAGGATTAAAATATTCTAAAACAAAATAGGAAGCAAATTAATTATCTTTTAATTAATCTGTATGATTATAATATAATATTTATTCAATCATTTGACAATGAATACCCAAATATTCTTACAGAAAATATATTCTAACTCAAAATTTTAAAAAATAATAACTATTACTTTAATCAATGAAATTACTTAATTCGTATAAAATTACTATTCAATTAAACGATATAACTGAATTTTATCATCATACTAAAATTTATTATTTTTTAAAAATCAAATAATTTTTTCTTATTCGGAAAACAAATAAGTGAGGTTCATAATTGGATAAGGGCAGATGGGACCCGGGGGTGGGGCAGGCATTCAATCACAGTAAAATTCTGCTCCAAGTCCTCCACACATCACCACACTAATCCAAAAAAAAAAAAGGCACCAAACCCAACCAACTTTGGCAACTTAGCCCTAAACCTTTCCCCTTCCTGCACATGCAGGCAACTGCAACAAGCCTCCTTCTCACACTGCCCAAGGCCAACGACCTCAGATTCGATCCCTAAAAACCGGTTAGACCCCACGATCCCAAAACCCGATCCTTGTTGATCCAGATGTTCTTCCATGTGCTTTGATCTCAGTTAAGGTTTGATATTTTCCACAATCGTCTTGTTTCTCATTATTTGGTAGCTTGATGGGTCTTGGTTGGACTTGGGATAAGAAGAGGGATCTAGAGCTGTTGGTTTGAATATCGTTTCCTTTTAGGCTTTTTGATTTTTTTTTATTTTTTTTACGGATGCCATTTTGTTTAGATTTATTGGTTGAAAGGTAAATTTGGTGTTCAGTGTTGTTTCTTTATGATATTTTTTGGGTGCCAGTTATGGTAATCTACATTCTTTTGGAGGAGAACTGATGATTAGGGGCGTAACAGTTACTTCGGTATTTTGGAGTCAGCTCTCGATCTTATTAGACTTCTGGTTCTGGATTATGTTGTTGTTTAGTGCTCATAGCTTATTTTGTGTATGAATTTTGATAGCTTATCTGCCAATTTCAAATCATTAGTGTTTATTCGGCTATAATTCTGCATTTGTGAGATTTGATTTTGGAGATTTTAGGTCGTATCGTGTAGAGATTTCTGAATTGAATGTTTTTAGGTACATTGTTTGGTCATTAGAAATTTTAGAGGTGAGGTGTATTGTTGAGTTATCATTGGATTTTAGAGGATTAGGAGGCATAAATGTCGTTTAAGAGCATTATCCATGACATGAAGGGAGAATTGGGGAGTATATCGAGAAAAGGGTTTGATGGGAAGTTTGGGTATGGCATGAGATCAAGGTCACACAGGGTAGTTCAGGATAGCTCAGTTCCAGTTGATGTGTTTAGGCAGAGCTGTTGGGCAAACATGCCGCCTGAGTTGTTGAGGGATGTGTTGATGAGAATAGAGGCATCGGAGAGTACTTGGCCTCCATGGAAGAATGTGGTTGTTTGTGCTGGTGTATGTAGAAATTGGAGAGAGGTTATGAAGGAAATTGTGAAAACCCCAGAAATTTCTTGCAAGTTGACATTCCCAATCTCATTGAAGCAGGTACTAGCTGCATGCCTGTCCTTTATTCTTTTCTATTAAGTGAATTTGAATTTTTATTTGATTGAATTGCTTTCACTTGGTTATGTTTTGACCTTAAAGTGATCCTATTATACTCTACCTTTGAATCTTTTTTTTTTACTAATCAACTGAAATAGCGTTGAAGTGAAGATAAGGTATCAGGAATCATGAACTATTCTCAAACCACACAACTTCACCTCATGAGGTTAAAGTGTTATTGCTAAAGAATGTGCCACAATGTTCCCATCCCTAATAAGGAAAGTCCAGGATATGAATTCTGGTTACAGGTCAAAGAGATAGTTTTTTCCTCTAGGTTTCCTGCTATAGATGATCTGGCACCTTCCATTTAAGATGATTACATTATAAATGCCTACATCCTGAGAAAAATTATTCATTCTTTTATAGCCATAACATCCTACTCAAATACAACAAAATTGTTTTCCCCCCTAGCCATAGTATCTATGATTCGACCATTTGAATCTCATAAAATGGCTCCCAGGCCTGCCACCAAGTTGTTCTTTGCTTCTGCAGCATCTACATATACTCAAAAAAGCACCGGTAGGTGATGACTCCACCTGGTGGGATGACCAGTCTAGTTCGTCTTCTTCTTTTTTCCTTTTTCTTTTTGAAGTTTGATTTAAGTTAGGACAATTCCTAGCATTTACAAAATTTGTCGCAGTCCCTTGCTCTGGTTATACCCTCTTACAGGTGTGCTTGCATAAGTAACGGTGGGTGTAAAATGTGAAAAATGACTGATTTGTTTAAGTTGAGATGTGTCTTGCATTCTAGGATCACCTTGTCATACACTTTAGGAAGCTTAGAATCTAAAGTTAGAAATATGTTGGGTGCTGTTTATCACGCTGCATCACAACAGTCTTTTTGTCTCATAAGTGACCGAATCATAAATTCTGAATTCTAAAGACAGAAATTCTCCTGAGATTAATTGCGAACTTGACAGTTACTTGGCTGAATAATTGCTTGAAAGGTACCTATCTAAGATAATAGAGAATAGACTGTAAGCTCTCTGTTTTGACTTGGAGCAGTTTTCATTATTCAATAATTATCCGTGATAAGTGAAAAGTTTGGGTATATATATATGTTCACGGTATTTTTTATTTTCTTTTGCAGCCTGGTCCAAGGAACTCCCTTCTTCAGTGTTACATAAAACGTAACCGTAGCAACCAAACATATTATCTTTACCTTGGCTTGAATCAAGGTGAGCTGCTTTTATTTATTTGTGTTTCTTTTGAGGTGATTGGTGAGTGTCTTGTATTTCTTTTGGTATCTTTTCTTAGTTGTGTATGCAAAACTGTTTTGCTTTATGCATTTACTTAGCAGCTTCAAATGACGATGGAAAGTTCCTTCTCGCTGCTAGGAAGTGCCGCCGTCCTACCTGCACAAAGTATATCATCTCATTAAATGGCAATGATGTGTCGAAAGGAAGCAGTACCTACATTGGAAAGTTGAGGTATTGTCCAGTGGTTTATGATTTTGCTGATACATCATACATTAGTAATTTCAGAAATCTAAATTTACCTTGATTTGCTTTAACAGATCAAACTTTTTGCGGACCAAATTCACAGTCTATGATGCACAGCCTCCAAATGCTGGAGCCAAGGTTACTAAAAGTTCCTCCACAATGCTAATTAATATGAAACAAGTTTCTCCACGTGTCCCAGCTGGCAACTATTCTGTAGCTCACATCTCTTATGAGCTGAATGTCTTGGGTTCCAGGTAAGGAGCATCTGGAAAGTTGCTCTCTCTATCTCTGTGTGTGTGTTTGTATGGGGTGGTCATCATTTAGCACCTATGCTTACTGAAATAAACATATTCTGCACTATAGAGGACCAAGGAGAATGCAGTGCGTCATGGATGCCATACCAGCCTCTTCTATAGAGCCTGGAGGTGTTGTTCCTGCACAGACTGAATTCCTACACAGTAATCTGGATACTTTCCCATCACTGCTGTTCTTTAGATCAAAATCATCCCGTTCAGAGAGTTTCCGATCTGGACCTTTGTCTGAGCAGAAAGATGAAATGCTGGTATTGAGGAACAAGTCACCCAGGTGGCACGAACAACTCCAGTGCTGGTGTCTGAACTTTAATGGACGGGTGACAGTTGCTTCAGTAAAAAAAATTTAGCTGGTTGCATCTCCAGAAAATGGAGTTGCTTGGCAGGAGCATGAGAATGTCCTATTGCAGTTTGGGAAAGTGGGGAAGGATGTATTCACCATGGATTATCAGTATCCAATCTCAGCTTTTCAGGCATTTGCTATCTGCCTTAGTAGCTTTGACACAAAGATTGCTTGCGAGTGATATGCAAACAGGTATGAGGTTAAATTACCTAACTTTTGGACTTTTGACAATTTTGAATATCAATATAAGCATATAATTTTTATCAATCTCATTTTTGTGTTCTGGATTGTGGCAAATAATTAAACCTGCTTTGCTGGCCGTTGGTATTGCAAATTTCAACTTTGTTGTAACATGTTTATTAAGTAGTTGGTTTAGTCCATTTTTAGCCTAGAATTCCAGGGTACTCAGAATCTGTCGTATGGTCATGCCAAAATGGGGGAAAATCTGCTCTGTAACTTGGTCACTTGTAGTATTGTTAGGTAAATCTTAACTCTGAATTTATTTATGGATCCTGAGTAGCTGAAGCTCCTTGTTTTGAACTGCAGGTATTGTTAGACGCAAAATAGTTTGGTCTTGATATGGGCTTGGCATGTTCTGATATAAAAGTTTCTTGGTACTTCAATGCTTTCCGGTTTCAATATGAGCAGTTAGGATTTAACTTTTAATTTATTTATTTGCTGTACATATAACTGTTTGTATTGAGAAGGAGACATGACCACCATGTTGGTTGTGCTTTGTTAACATGATTGTTTCTTCGATTGTTGAGCAAAAAGAAGCTAGAAAACTGTGAATTTTTTCCGTATTTGTTAAGGAGTACATCCCCTGTTGGAGACTTTTGTCCATTTTTTATGTGCACTTCCTCATTTCTCAAATTGTGTCTGTTAAGTGCTCATCTTAGGTTATTTTTTAACGGTTTGAAAAACTGTTGATATTCACTTTTAAAGTCCTGGGTGAAAAATGTGGGAATACTAGGATGGATGTTTAGGGGGGGGGGAACAACGAAATTCCAACCAGTCTATAACATCATTTATCAACGCTGATAAAAGTTTACAGAATATATGAAAAGAGTAGGGAAAACAACAGTAAGAAGCAATTACTAGATTGTGAAGCTTATTAAAAGGCATTATTACACAACACAAGCAGAGCAGCAGGCGGCAGGTGAGAGAGGATTAGAAAGGGGGAGGGCCATAACCACGGGGTCCACCAAAGCAGTCTTGTAGTATCCAACAACAGCAGAGGCAGTAGAAGCTGCAAGTCCAAACAATGTAAAAAAGCTCAATCAAAACGCATTTAACTAGACATGGAAGCAGAATTGAGTAACAATGATTACTTACCATGAAGATATCATGTTGCACAAACCATTAGCAAAGCCACCAAAGAAACCAACAGGACCTCCAAATCCAGGGCCCCAAGGACCGGGACCCCCAGGACCAAAGCCTCCAGGTCCTCCTGACCCTCCAAATCCAGGGCCCCAAGGACCTCCGGGACCCCCAGGCCCAAAGCCGCCAGGTCCCCCTCCGGGACCTCCTCCAGGTCCACCAGGTCCCATTCTTAACTGGAAACTCGGCCTTCAGTCGGTGTTCACCACAAGGAAGGCGTTGCCGAAGTGATAATCTGAGTCTTGAAAAGGATCTCTGTGAGAAAATGTAGAGAAATTGGAAGGGCCGATCCTCTCAAGCTATTGGCGAATGAATGTTTTGGAAGTAGCTTGGACGCAATATGTAGTTATTCTGATAATATGTGTTGGGTGTCTCTTACTAGTCAAAAACAAGAAGCCTACCAGTCTTATCTTCCAACTACTCTTCTTTCACATACCCTTTTCATCTATCATTCAACGTTTACATGACAAATGCCAATAACCCATCGGTTGTTAAATTGAGGATTAATGTCACAATTAGAGCTTTAGAATCTAATCCTTTTTTCTTAAAAGGAAAACTGAAGGTGAAAATAAAATATTATACAACAAATGGATGTCATAATCTGGTCTGTATCTGATATTTCCTAATAAGATTATCGGGATGTTAAAAGTAATTTTATGCCGAGCGTTAGTTTCTTTTTGTTCCAGACATGTTTTTAATTTCAAAATAACCACAATAAATGAAGTAATTTGAATTTGAGAAAGCAACCCATTTCTTTATCATGTACGCACAATCAATGCATATTGCAAACAATTGGTATTGGTTGAGTAAACGTGGATCCACAACAATTTTATTATTTGGTTGCTTGAGGTGTGACAGTTGGTAATTGCGTACTGTTAGACAATCGCTGGCAATGGCATGATATATCAATTGGCTTGGATTGTTGTAACACATTATTCAATTAACCCCTCTTTAAATTCATTGTTAAACTGTTGGAATACTTCATTCAATTAATTTATTGTCCATTAAATCTTACATTTTTATTATAATAACAATAAATTGAAAATATGATTTTAAATATATATAAATATATAATGTATTTTATTTATTTAATTAGCGACGTAAAAAGTGTACCTAAATTGAGCATTATATCACAAATAATCGAATACACAAATGATTTAAAGAATGCAACAAACGTAGGTAAACCACTATATGACATTACTGCTGCAATTTGTTAAGTGCCACATGTGTGGCAGCATGGATTTCGGTCCACCATCAACGCTAACAAAGTAATAGCTAAATACTAAAGGGTAACTACATTGTTCATCACTCAACTCAATCTGTATTTCTGTTTTGATTACTCAACTTTAAAAAAAAAATCAATTTGATTGCTAAACTTTTGGATTACCCCTATTTTGATCAATCGAGTATTAAATCATAAATAAGGTGACATGAAAATTTTATGTTGACATGAAAGTTACATGTTGTTCACTTTTTTCCCTTATTTTTTTTTCATTTAATCTTCTTGCACACAAAAACTTAGACTCTTAAGAGTTTCACTCCTGTGACATGTTAGTGTCAAAACTATCATTCTTCACATTTTTTTCTAATCATCCAAGACATTCGCAAACTTGTAATTGTCTCCAACAACTCTATCAGTTTAGATTTCCTCAAAATATCTTTTAAAACTCGTGAAATTCAATCCAAAATTAATAGGAAAACAACCCAGCTCTACACTCTTCACCATCCAAGTAGTGTGGAATCAAGATATATATAGCTCATCTCCTCTTTATTCGCCTCCCCACTATTTAGATTTTGAAAAAGGTGTTCCAATGTCGAAAAATCAAAAGAAAAAAATAAAATAAAAAGTTTTTATGAAATTTCAAGGTTTTTTCACAATCATTGGAGAAACTTTTTGAGTGATTTCATAATTTTCTGAAAATATATCATGTAATAACATCATTATTTATTTAACAGAGAAGTGATCAAAATAAAAACAATCTCAAAATTGAATGATTTATTTAAAAATTTAAAAATTAAATGTCCAAAACGAAAACTGAAAAAACGTAAATTTCATCTCAAATGTATTTTTTTAACATAAAACAATAATAATTCAACCAAATACTTCAATGAAATGAAGTAAACTATATTTAGATTTACTATAGGATTGCAGGCTGCGTTGATAGCAACAATGCACAATTTCAAAGTCTAAATTTCAAAGTAACAAATCATAAATACATTAAACTAATAAATATAGTTTGAGTTTTGAGTGTAGTAAAATATTAATTAATAATTTAGTATTTTTTTTGTTTATTAAAAAATTAATAGATTAACAATTTATAATTTTTTATTATATATTAGTAAAGTAGTAATTTTTTTGAATGGAATAATTTTTTAAAATAACTACTAAAACAATTAACAAACTGTTCGCAAACTTATTAAGTCGAGTTGAAATTTGTTCGAGTTTGAGTCGAGTCAACTCGAGTCGAGTTATTATAAAGTTTTGACTAAGTCGAATTCGAGCTGCTCACCTCAACTCATTAAGCACCCCTAGTCGTAACCTTCGTTAATGGCGTTTTAAATAAATTAAATGATTAAAAATGAACGATTCAAGAAATATAAAACATTTAAACGAAACAAATTTATTTTAATTTATCTGATTTTTTAAAAATTTTGAAATCATCTATGATAATAAAGTTTGATTCTAGATTTTTAATAGCTTTAGATTTAATGTTTTAGAACTTATTTTAATAGAATGGACTTTGTTTTATAATCTTTGGTATTATATGGTAAGATTTTAAACAATTTTCATACAGTTTTTTAAAATAATTTCTAAAAAATTAAATTTATATTATTTTCACTATCTTAAATATAAATATTTTTTAATATCATAACAAAAAAAAGGAATTAACTGCAAAATAAATATAAAACAGAATTTGTTTCGAACTTTATAAACTGTAATTTTTGACTTGTGAAATATAAATATAGCCAACCCAACCTTCTGCTCCTACTTAATTCTCACATACACACCTGTTTTCTGCGGCTCCGCTTCGTCGCCTACGGATGAGATCTACATCAGCGGTCCACATCTTTTACATACCACGTGTCATCATCTTAAACGTCCATCAGTATCCCCACATACCTCTATTGTTTCACATGACTTGTTTAACCATGGTTAAAATCTAACCCATCTTCCCAACACAGAAAATTAAAAATCCTTATCCTATCATTTGTATGTCTTTTCACTTCACTTTCTCCATCTATACCTTCCTGCTCCTTGTAAGCTTCGTTAACGGCGTTTCAGATCTAAAAACACACCCAACTCTTTGAGATTCACTAAATTGTATATCAGCCGAACCGAAGAGTTTAACGAGGAACAAACATTTATCTTTTCCAATCAAAAGACTTTCATTTGTGTATCGTGCGTGCATTTTTAATTAATGCAGAAGAAAATGATGTATTCCTTTCCGGATGATGTGCTGGAGCACGTCTTCTCTTTCATCCAATCCGATAAAGACCGAAACGCGGTATCGGCGGTGTGTAAATTGTGGTACGAAATCGAACGTTGGTGTCGGAGGAAGGTGTTTATCGGGAACTGTTATGCCGTGAGTCCTAGGGTGGTTATCAAGCGGTTCCCGGAAGTTAGATCCATTGAGCTGAAAGGGAAGCCGCACTTCGCGGACTTCAATCTGGTGCCAGACGGTTGGGGTGGTTACGTTCTTCCGTGGATCGTTGAGATGGCCGGCGCTTACCCTTGTCTCGAAGAGATTCGGCTTAAAAGGATGGTGGTTACGGATGAAAGCTTGGAGCTTATCGCTAAGTCATTTAAGAATTTCAAAGTGCTGGTGCTTTTTTCTTGCGAAGGGTTTTCAACCGATGGACTTGCTGCCATTGCTGCTGGTTGCAAGTGAGTTTCGTGAACTCTTTTTGTTTCATTTGGTTTTGCAGTGAGAAAAGCTTTGCTACAATTTGCTTTTGGTTTAACTAGATTTTTCGGGTTCAATGTTACGTAGGATTGTAAATTGAGTGGAACAAGTTCTTCTGAATGCTTTACTCATAGATTCGATGCTTAGCCTTTTGTTTTAGTTATCTTCTTCCTTGTATTTTTTCTGCTTCTGCTTTTCTCAGATCTGAGGTGAGCCAGTTCCTTTTCATTTCTTCTAGGATTCCTTGTTGGTTATTATTAGCAGATTCGATTTGGGAATCTTTCAGATTTTGGATGATTAATTCCTGCGAGATGCGGTCTTCCTTTTGCTCTTTAACTAGATTCTTTTTCTCTTGATTTATTGTTACTAATGATGGTTTGTTTTTTTGTCAACGTGATTGAAGGGAATAATTTTCCAAGCTGGGTCATTATTTTTCTTTTATTTTACTCGGGTCTTTTTTGTTTGTTAGCCGTAAATTCCATCTTGTTTGGTGATAGTTATGGTTGACTGAGCAATAATACACGTAAAGAATATACAACTTTTCTTGTAAGTTCCATTGTAGGAAAAGAAGGTAAATTTAGCGTGGTAGTCTAGTCGTTTTCAATGACAATGACAGTAGTTAGCTTCCAATTTTGTTCAACAACATGATTTTCCATGTTCACTCTACGATTTAGTTTTTTTTTCCTACTTGATTTTCCCTTTTCTAGTTTTAGATTCTGATTGTTGTTTTTTTTACTCCAGTGTCTTGTATGTTGTTTTTGTGAATCAGTCTGCTTGGTAATGCAGGAATCTGAGAGAGCTGGACTTGAGGGAAAGTGAAGTGGATGATTTGAGCGGGCATTGGCTTACTCATTTTCCTGAGACATGCACATCCTTAGTGTCCCTAAACATTTCTTGCTTGGGATCTGATGAAGTTAGTTTCTCAGCCTTGGAGCGCCTGGTGGGTAGATGTCCCAACCTGAAGTCTCTTCGGCTCAACCGTGCAGTTACCCTTGATAAGATTGCCAACATTTTACGTCGTGCACCACAGTTGGTTGATTTTGGCACTGGAAACTACGCTTCCGAGCTACCGCCTGATGTCTTGTTGAACTTGGCTGGAGCTTTTTCTAGTTGCAAGGAGTTAAAGAGCTTGTCTGGATTTTGGGATGTGGTCCCGGCTTATCTTCCAGCTCTTTATTCCGTCTGCTCTAGATTAACGTCTCTGAACTTAAGCTATGCTACCATACAGAATCCTGAAATAATCAAGCTTGTAAGCCGTTGCCCAAGTTTGCAGCGCCTTTTGGTAAGCTTATTATTATGTTATCACTGTTTAATAAAAATTGAGCACTGCCGAGTTAGAATTGCTATCTTAAACGTGTTGTTAACTTAAAGCATTTTCAATTTCAGGTACTTGACTACATTGAAGATAGTGGCCTTGAAGCACTTGCTTCTAGTTGTAAGGACCTACAGGAATTACGTGTGTTCCCATCTGACCCATTTGGTGGAGAGCCGCATGTATCCTTGACTGAACAAGGCCTTGTCACTGTTTCTTTGGGTTGTCCTAAGCTACAGTCAATTTTGTATTTCTGCCATCGGATGACTAATGCGGCATTAGTCACCATAGCCCAGAGTTGTCCGAACTTAACTCGTTTTCGTCTTTGTATAATTGAGCCTAAAACAGCTGATTACCTGACCCTCGAGCCACTTGATGTTGGTTTTGGAGCCATTGTTGAGCATTGCAAGGATCTCAGGCGGCTTTCCCTCTCCGGTCTCCTCACAGATCGAGTATTTGAATATATCGGGACATACGCAAAAAAACTAGAAATGCTGTCTGTGGCTTTTGCAGGAGACAGTGATTTAGGACTCCATCACGTGCTTTTCGGCTGTGAAAGCCTCCGGAAACTAGAGATAAGGGACTGCCCTTTTGGGGACAAGGCTCTTTTGGCCAATGCTGCAAAGCTGGAGACAATGCGATCCCTTTGGATGTCATCTTGCACTGTGAGTTTCGGTGCATGTAAGCTGCTAGGTCAGAAGATGCCCAGACTGAATGTTGAAGTTATAGATGAGACGGAACCTCCAGATTCAAGACCCGAAAGTTGCCCAGTTGAGAAGTTCTACATATATAGGTCAGTGTCGGGGCCAAGGTTTGACAAGCCACCTTTTGTTTGGACAATGGATGAAGAAGGTAAGATTATGCATTGAAGCCTTTGTTCAGGCATCATGTATGAGCTCAGTTGATTTCAAGAATGAATGTATCAGGTACAAACACATTCCCAACTCATATTTCCCGCCTTAACTTATATGTAGCTTAACAGAATTGCAGGCGTGATTGGAGTGAGTGGACAACGTAGTATGTAGAGGGTATCAGTTTTACAATGTTTTCCCACAAGTTATAATGTATACAAGACTTTTGGATGTTTATGTTGTATCGTCTAGTAATCATCTTCAACCTCATAAAAGTTGCAGCAATTGACATCTTTTCTTTTGTGATGAATGCATGCATTTGAGTTGTTTCTGTTGAGAATGGAAGCTAAAAGACGACGATGAGTCCTTTTGTGGTATCATAACAGTTTCCCCATCTTTTGATAACAAGAACAAACTAGCAAGGCATGTTTAATACGGAGCAATCATTGCACATCCAACAGTATATAATCTAATCTTGTGGTAATTATGAAGCAATCTAACAGTACACATTTATGATTTTATTTTACCTTGTTTTTACTGGTACAGTAAAATCCTAACAAAAAAGAGTGAGTGAGGCATGGTAAGTTTGAGCGTATAATTATTAGTATTGTGATGGTTGGTTCAAAGTTTTAGGAGGCTCCTCGACTGTTGTGCCACGTGATAGACATTGATTAGCTTTTTGGATTCACGCTCTCTTTAATTTTTCTTCCGGTTTCTACACTGCCCACCTGCGCTCAACTCCACTCTTTCTAGTTTTTATCAATAACTCATCTTTATTACTCGGTCAAGGCTTAATTGAAAAATCAGCCTCCGCTCTTTTTATCTTTTAAGTAATTAAATTATTATTTGATCAAAATAAATTCTATTTAAACTATCATCTTATAACCGCTTCATATCTTATTATTTTAAAATTTAATATAAAAATATCTCAATTATATTTTTTCTTCTTCTCATTTATGTGTTTAATTTTTTTTGGTAAATCTAAGTGTTTAACGTTATAAATATTGTCATTTTAAGTGTATCGGTTGTAACGAATCTTAAAAAAATCTGTTAAATGACACATGTCAGATTCATGTAATTTTAAAAATCTTATTTTTTTCTAAAAGCAATTAATTGAAAAACCTTATTTTTTTTCTAAAATTACGGCAACAAAAAAAACTAAAATCCTTTAAAATTCTTAAAATCAATCCTAAATTCCTAAATCTAATCGTACCATCTTCCTTGTAGACCACAATTATCACCACCGCTCTTGGCATCTATGTTGTCGTTCTTGTCTTCGGGTCATTTGTGTGTCGTGATTTTCCAAAGTTTAGGGGTTTGAGTTAATTGTTTTCTTTTTCGGGGACTTCAATTTTTTGGGTTTTAGGCCGTCGGTTGAAGGTTTTGATGGAGGTTCAATCGATGGCAACAGTTACAAACGATTGCGGCCAATGTGGACATAGGGACTGAAATTAGAATTATTAAAGTCATGGAATTTTTTGAAGGTTGGAGAAAATTTTAACTTAGTTTAATATAATATAATATTTTATTTTAAATAAATTTTTTAAATTTATATAAATACAAAAAATAAATAACCACCTAAATAAGAAAAATGATATAATTTACACGTTTTTTCTTGCATTAAACCTTAATTTAATTAAAAATTATTTCAGCAATTTAAACATTTATTTTAATTAGTCGAATATGAACCGATGAATTAAGCAGTGCTGATTTTATTTTTAGAAGAAAAACAATTGTAAATGAGGAAAATGGTGGGTGGTACATCATCATTAATATTCTATCTGGTGTTGTGTATGATTGCAGGGGGTTGCTGATTTCATCTTTCTTATTTTTATTTTCCGACTTGTTTAAAAAAATATTCTTTAATTCATGCTGCTACACTGTCTCCACCACCAGGTTATGAATGAAGGCGATCCCCCATCCCAGCATTATTATTAACAAATATTAAATGGAAAAGAAAAAGACAGACGCAGCAGCAGCAGCAGTATTGAAACAGAAACGACCGAAGTTGGTTTAATTAAAGAATGATATGATTGTACAAACTGGACCCTCAGCTGCCAAAATGATTACTACTAACAACTAATTACTGTCAATGATCAATGCCAATCATAATGCTCTGCGTACGTGAATCCATCATTTTTACCTCTCCATTCATTATTATTTATTTATTTACCTTAATTCAAAAACACATAAGATGGCTATGAATACGAGGTTGTACTCCTCACTTGTAACGCCATTGCCACATAAGAATCCTGCTTGGTTCTCCATGGCATCTGTCTAGCAGTCACACTGAATCTGTTCATTTGCTTGTTTTCGTCGTCTCTATCATGCATACATATAACTAAACCTGGATATCATGGAACTTCTTGCACCAGTTATTTACCATCCCCATGGTGCTCACCTGTGTCAACAGTTAAGCGGCCTCTCCGGTAAGCTTTGGTTGTCACACGGGTGCAAAAGGTCGTGGAAAATGTTCTTACCCGGGACATACTTTTTCCAGAATCGACTTGATTCTTTTCAAACAGTTGTAACATACGAGGAGTGAATTGCCCTAAACCATTACAGATCAAAGTTGATACAGATTAACTAAATCATTCGGTCACATAGAGAATTGTGGAATTAAAGTTAGGTCCCCTCTCAAAATTTCAGGTCTAATGGTATTTTGGTTTATGGCGATTTAAGTTTAAATAAAATTATTTGATTCTAATTTCATCCTTATTAACCCTACAAAATATTAGAAAATTTGTTTTACATAGCTAATCATTTATATAAATTTTCAATTTTAATCCCACAAAAAAAATATATTTTGTATGAAACTCCCCACCCACTAAATATCCAAAATCCTTTTCTTGCAACATAATTACATTTGTACTAAATTTCCCCAAGTTTTTATTAATAAACCTTTAGACAGATAAGATTGCAGTTTTACTAGTGATATATTAAGATTTTTAGGGTTAATAACATATTGTGTTTGATATATTGCATTTTCATAGTAGCAAAATATACTTAGGTATTTTTTATTTTTTAAAACAAATTACTAGTATGTTAGCTTCATGAAAGCTACTGTGTGTTTAAGGTTTACATTTATTTATATTAAACAGTAAACACATTTAAAAATATAGTAGATAATAATGCAAAAGATACGAGTTAATCATTAAAATTTATTGAATGTACCTAGTAATTATGTAATGGATTTGCATTTAACCATGTTATATAGTAATTCATCAAATATTTATATTAATCATATTGTAAAAACTATAGAAAGTTGAAGCAACAATAAGAGATAAAGAACAAGATATGAGAGAATAAACTTTCTAGAGCATACATCATATGCTTGTATAAAACCACTATTTATAAGACTATTATCGAAAGAATAAAGGAGTGTTATAAAGAGATGAAAGGTGAAAAAACTTGGACTATCATCATCATAAGGATAGAGGGTGTTACAAGGATGTGAAAGGTAAAGGAACTTGGAAATTAAAAAGTGAAAGGTTCACAAGCAGCGGATCCAAAAACATTTTTTTTAGAGAAGGTACATATATATTAACAACACAAACTTTTCTTATGAGATGGGCATAAAATTTCATGGCGGCTCCAATCAATAAAATAAATAAATAACCAAATAAAACTTAGATTTCAGGGTGGGCAAGTATATGCGTGGATCCGTCACCGTGATTCACCATAATGGACATTTACTTGACATTCATAACTATTTAGCAGTATGAAGAAAATCCTCACTTTCGGGTACTTAAAACTACATTGGAAAACTGCACTGTTTCACATGTTCTATGTACCAGCTACCGTAAGCACTAAAATGAAGGACAAAACAACAAATAACGCGTTTCACATCACTAATTTGTATTACCCGAGGCACCACTAGGTGAACTCTGTATAGACTGCAAGAGGTGCTGGATTCTATATTTCATTATTGGCTGACCATGTCTTGTCTTTTTGAACATCTCCTTCCTTTCTACCTTCCTCTGGGCTTCAGCTTTCTCCCTATGTTCCTTCTTTGCTTGAATAGTTGCCTCCCTCTCTATCCTTGCCTTCTCTTTCTCCTCCCACTGCTTCTCATACACTTCTTTCAAACTGTGATAACTATTCCTCCTCGTCTTCGAATTCTTCATTTTGTTTGTCCTACTACCATTACTGTCTTCATTCTCATCCTGTAACAATCCTTGCATTATCAGACATTCGGTCTGTTCTAAAGTATGTAATGATTATTATGTCTAGTTGCATGCAAGGGATATCGATATAGATCTTGGATTACATGTTTCCAACAGAAACATTTAGTCTATTCTGCTTCCTCAGCTAAACATTAAGGTTTTCACAGGGTATGAATAACTTTTGAAAGAATCATATTCAAGAAGCAATCTAAGATATTGGAACCCAATATCACAAAATCTATACTCCATCTAATGAAGCCTCCAATAAACAGTAAAATACTTAACCACTGGTCCACTCATCTAATGAAACTTCTTAGAGCATGGTGTTGCAGATAACACAAAGGTATTATTGTCCTCCTCGTGTGCTGCTTAAACAGAAAAACACCATCAAGATTCTATCCACACACTGAAATTTCAGAGCTAAAGGTGCCTTTTGATGAATGAATCAGGCACCCTTAGCTCTCCTCAGAGGGTGCCTTGCTCTGCGGCGGTACCAAAGAGGACAATGGCTTTGCGCGATATCAGCACAATACTTATTGCTTAACAGAACTCCATTTATAACTACAGCTTAAAACAGATTTCACAGTTTAACATATCAGGCACCAGTCCATTCTAGAGCAACTAAGCTCCTCATATAAGAAAAAGAAAAAAAAAAGAAACTTAAGTTAATCACAATTTCAAATAAAATGAAAACAAACCTCTGGGATTCTTGGGGATGAAGGAAGATCGTTCTTCCCCTGATTTTGTTGCTTTAATGACTTCTTATACCTGTTAACATACTTAGCATTTTTATAGAACTCCCTTTTCTTCTCTGAGAAAAAAACAATACAAACGTTGCAAATAAACAAGGGGATAAACTCAACAACAATAAAAAATAAATAAAACCTAAAAAACAAAAAAGATGGAAATTTATACTTATTAACGCGGGATTGTAGTTATTGTTGGTGGATTTGGCATTAGCAAACGCTTGAAGCGAGAGACCGCTTCCAGTTCCTCCCAGTCGATTCATGTTCTTTTTCTTCTTCATTGTCATCGGTTTTGGGCCGCTCATCATACTTCGGTTCCCATTTCCATTTTCGCTCGGATTCCGATTCTTCATTGTCGCAAAAAATAGGAAAATTTTTATTTGTCAACGTATTATTGAATGTTGAATGAAAACCCTAATTCCTTTCTTCGTCTTTACAGAGTGAAACGTTTAGGACAAAAATCTTCATCGACAAATGATGCCTACAAATGGTCTGCAGTCTTATCTTTAGGCCGAAGCCTATATTGTTTATGGGCCGATATTCTTCAAGACCCAAAAATCTTATCAATGCTTTTATTTTTATAAAATTTTGGGTAAAGTGCATAATTGAGTCCATTTACTATTAAAAGTTATAAAATGATCAATCGACTATTCATATATTCCAAATTCGTCTTTTTTCGTTAAAAAATTGATGGTCGTCTAAACTGGATGTTAACCTACTGACCAAGATATGAAAAAAATCATATTTTAATGATGTTTATCGAAACCGTCATTGCTTTCAATCACTGACTCGACAACATAATATTTCAAGCACTGACTCGATAGCATAATGTAAATAACTTAAACGATTCTGTGCTCAGATTTTATCATATCCTGATGAGTAGGTTAACGTCTAGCTTAACCAACTGCCAATTTTTTTAACAGAAAATGATAAATTTGAAACATATGAATAGTCGAGTAACTGTTTTATAATTTTTGGTTATTTGGGCACTCAACAAAGTAGTATCTTATAGTCGATGAACTACTTTGTATCTTTCAATTATCGGAGACTTAACAAAGTAACATCCTATACTCGGGGGACTATTTGTGTATTTTACCCAAAAAAATTTCACTTCAAATACAATCATCACACTATTATTATAAAAATTATTATTTTTATTAAATTTTATAAAAATAATGGATTACTTTAAATTTGAATTAATTAAAATGTTTGAAATAATTCAATTTAAAGTTTTGTTTTTTCTTTTAAAAAATTAACACACATTTTAATCGGGACTTAAGGAAATATTGATTTTTTTAATAAAGTATAAAATTGTTGTAAAGCTATTTGGATTTAACAAAAGAATTTAAATGATGTTAACAAATTATATTTGAATGTTTTTAATTTGAAAAGTAAATGATAAATTATTGGAAATAAATGTGAGAGGATTCAATTTTAAATTTATGAAGAATATAGGAGCTTCGAGCCCATAATTTTAGCCGATTTGTTATCACATATTTTTGTGTATAAAAGATAACGTAATATTAAAAATTAACGAATTAAAAAATAAATTAATTTTTTTTGTGTGTGAAAATGTTAAATTTTTATTTTACTATTTTAAAAGGTCTTTTATTTGAGTAGATTTAAAAAGGTTAAATCATTATTCGATCATTTAAAATGGTTAGCCCATATATGAACAATTATAATACTAAAGTAAGGGCGATGCATATACCTATTTTTTAAATTTAATTAAATAATAAAATTGATTAATCGGTGAGATTCTAACTTTAATACTTAACTAATCAAGGGTACATTTGGTTCTAGGAAATATAGATTATTTTCATTTTAATTTTTTTAGAAAACAGAAAACATAGAAGAAAATGTGTTTGTTAGTAATTAGAAAATCTTTTTTGAAAAATGAATAAAAGTGAAAATATTAAAACATAAAAAATATTTTTAATATTTTCATTTAAATTATTCTGAAAATTTGAAAAAATAGGAAAACATAATATCTAAAATTTTAATTTAACTTATACGGGTTTGAATCCTTTAACAATAATTTTTGACTCAATGATATATGAAACCCTCAAACTTTGGTAACAAATTCAACGTGATCTTGAATTTTTTTATATTTAATGTGGTTCTTAATTTAAATTTTTTAATAATTTAATTTTGTATTATTTTTATATTTAATGCATTGTATATATTAATATTTTTTATATTTTATATTTAAATAATTTTTTATTTTTCTAAAAGGTTAAATAAGTCTTCAAACTTAAAAAATATCAATTAGACCCTCGAACTTAGTTAAAAAAATTCATTAAATCCATCTACCACATTATTGTCCATTGTGAATTGTCACATTAACATAGTAGATTGCCATATACGCATCGTGATAGTCAATGTTTGATTATGTTGGTTAAAGGATTGGATTGATTTCCCCCCTCAATTTAGGATCACATTGAGTGCAAAAAATGTTCAGGGTATACTCTAGTTCTTTTTTCAAAAGTTTGAGAGTCTCAAATACCACTAAACATATTTTTTTATTTTAATGACACTTTTGTGTGCTCTTACTTGCAACAATTTTCTGTGCGTGTGTATTTTTAGAATTTAATTAATGTCCAATATTCATTAATATTATATTCTTATTATAAACTAAAATAATTTTGTGTTATAAAATTTCTTATCAATTTTATTATTTTATATTTACATAATTCACATGTTAAATTATGTAATGAATTTTTTTTAATAATTATATTTTAATTTAATTATTTAATAACTATTTGTTCATTTCTATTTAAAAAAGTTAGATATAAAATACATTTTCTCTATTTTAATTTATGAATTCAAATTTTTATTTACATTAATCAAATATGTTTTCTAATTTTTAAAATACTAAAAAAAGACTACTTTTTAAGAAAAGTAAAAAAACAAAAATAAAAAATATTTTCTAACAGCAAAAGGGAAAGACTCAACCAAATGAACCCACCTATATCCAACCTTTATTTCTGGAATGCTGACATTCGACCATCTGTAAGTTGGAGCTTAAGGCGTCTTTTCAAACTAAGAAATGAAGCTTATCAAATCCTTTCTCTTGGTACAATGAAAGTGACTGACATTTAGGATGTTATTCGTGATAAGAGACCTCAAGTCCCATGGCAGAAATTAATATGGTTCCCTCTTCACATCCCTAAACACAGTTTAATCACTTGGATGACACTACTTGATAGACTCCCTACGAAGGTAAGACTCCACCGAATTGGGCTTATCAATGACTGCCATTGTGTGTTCTGCAATGCTCAATTGGAAACAAGGGAGCACTTGTTCCTCTAATGTCCTATGGCAGAACAATTATGGAATTCAGTTTTCTTCCACTCTGGTCTGCAATTTACTATCAGCTCTTGGGATGAATTCTTTGTGTGGGCAAGCTCTACTTGGAAAGGAAAATCACTGCTAACTTCGATTATGAAACTTGCTCTTAACGCCCTTATCTACTTTCTCTGGGAAGAAAGAAATAAGAGGATCTTCAAAGGCTGCTCCAGAAAAGTTCAAGAGCTATTCCTTGCCATTAAGGACGTCGTTCGCTTTCAACTGAGGGGTAGGAAAACAAATTGAAATGATATTGCTAATTTTTCCCTTTGTAAGCACTGGGATATTTCTTGTTCTTAATTCTTCTTGTAAGTAGAATGCTTCTATAACAGAACACTGCTGTTTGTAGCATGTTCTGTTCTTGTAACAGACTGGTTACTTGGGTAATGAAAATTGATGATTTATCCAAAAAAAAAGAAGTTTTAAATGATACCGGTACCCCTTTCAATAATTTCCAAAATATTATTACTAAAACGCATAGTAATGATCTCATCTATGAGCAGCTCATCAAGCGAAGTAGGCCTCTCATAGTCTCATTAGTTACTCTCAACCAAGCAATATGCGAATTTAATCAACTTTTTTGGATTTGTCAAAATGACCAACAAATTTGCAACGCAAACTCCAATTTCGCAACCCAGTTTCCAAATTCGCAACGCGAATCTGTAAATCGCAACACAGAAGTCAAATTCGCAATGTGATAGTCAAATTCGCAACGCAATAGTCAAATTCGAAACGCGATAGTCAAATTCGCAACACGAAAGTCAAATGTTTTTACGCGAAACACAATATTAATTTCGCAACACAAATGTAAATAGTATTATCATAAATCATCTCTAACCTAAAACCCTAAATCACAACTCATTCTCATCTCCATCTCTCACTCTCTACGGTGACACCCGTCCCCATCTCCGACGAAATCCGTCTATCTACATCTCTTAGAGCAACCCTCACAACCATTCACGGTCAGAAATGGAAAATCAACCACCGAGGGTTAGGTTTTTTAATCTCTTATTTTTATTTTGAAAATTTTGTATTATTATTAGATTTTTCTTATATTGATGATAAATTTACTGGTAATTTCAATATATATAAGTTAACCATTTCACTGAGATTGCTTAGTAAATTCATTTGGTTCCTGCCAATACTGCTAAACTGTTTAGTCTTTAACCCTGTGAAGTTAGTATTTGTCTTTTGTTTTGTCTTTTTGTTGAAAAAACCCTAAATCGCAACACCAAATTCGCAACGCAAAAATCACAACGCGATTTTAGTTTCACGTTGCGATTTTCATTTTCGCGTTGTGATTTTTATTTTTGCGTTGCGAATTTAAGTTTTAGAAACTTCTTTTATTCTGTAAATTGAAACTTGAATGAATTGCATTACTTCAACCAAAAAACAAAGACAAATACTAACTTCACAGTGTTGCTAATTTAAGTTTCAAGAATAAACTATTACTCTTTATGTTGTCCTTGAACCTGCACTAAACCTATATGTTGTCCTTTTAAATGTTTATATAAGTGCTTACTTCTGGAATGTTATATGATGCATTTTTTAAACTATGATGGAATAATGACTTGGGTGAATACCGTGCTAGTTTGAAACATATTTGGCTTTGTTTTCACTATTTAATATCATGTCTGTTTATAGTGTATAATTTGTAGTTTTTGGTATATCTAACTGTATGTTTATTGTTTTTGTAGAAATTTTTTTCGGCTGCATTGACCTTAAGGAATAAATTAAGCCTAGCCACTAAAATTGCGTCGACGATTACACCTATACAAAGAAAATTGTTTGAGGATACTTGCTTCGGGCCATGGCTGAAAGTGCAACATACGGTGGAGATGCTATGTTGACACATTTGTTTCTTCAGACCATGACTAACGATCTACCCGAGGGGATACAACGTAGTGATGAGGAGATATGATTTCATTTTCCTCCGGCACATACTTGTTTTGGGCGGGAGGAGTTTTGCTTAATCACTGGTCTACGCTTCGGACACGATGATGTAGGTCGGTACACTAGTCATATCGCCCGCCTTTCATGGTTATCTTGGGTTTTTCCTGAGCTGGCAAAGTCGAAGCCGAGTTTACACGTCGA